GGACTCCAGGATCATGACCTGAGCCGAAGGCAGTCGCTTAACCAACTGAGCCACCCAGGCGCCCCTATGTTAGTCTAAATAGGATAACAAGCTATTATTTATAGATTAATTATTCCCCTACTAATCGTTTAAAATAGGAAAGTACTCATTGCAGCTTACCATTTTCCTCAACTGTCATTGGAATATTAATTTCTAAATATGAGCCAGCTCCTACATTTACATGTACAGCATTTGTTTCCTACCAAAAGAAAAAAATTAAACCATATAATTATTTTCTCACTATTTAATCATACTCCCATCTTTACTTTTCAGTTATTATCACAGACAAAATATAATCATCAATGATATGAAATGGGTATTAAAAGTTCCTAAGAACGAAAGTTCGAAGTTTTACTAAAAATACACTAAAACAATCTGGCCAGATATAAAGAAGAAAATGAACCAGACTATAGAATTAAGGTTTATTATTAATTTTTCCTACTTTTGGTACTTAATGAAAGCAACATATATACAATTATTGTGGGGGGGGGAGTGATAGGAGGCTCACAGAAATGAATCTAAGTATAGAACTAGTTACCAGAAAAATACTCTGGAAAATCATGTTTAAGTTTTAAACACTATTTTCTACTATATTATTTCAATAATTACCCTGTTTTTGGTAAACAGCAAATCAATTGTAGCATCTGCAATAATATTCATTCGCAGTTCAAAAGCAAGGATCTGTCGTGGTCTCCCAGGCTGTGCAATTTCAGAAACTTTCAGAACTTGATAATCAGGTGGGAAGAAAAACTTCCATAAACAATCTCTATATAAGGAGGTATAAAGGTATAAAGAATAACTTGTTATTTAAACAAAATTACATTTATAAGGGAGCATAATCAGTATTCTAAGTTTGTACTATCACTGTTATCTCATTTAACAATTGGACATGAAATAGAAAAAAAAATTAAGTCACAAAATAGCACCTACTCTAATTTCCTTTCAGTAAAACGAAATTTTCTCCAATGTTTTATACTTCCAAAGATCAACAACCTTTGAGTATTTTTTTAGATTTATTTACTTATTTGAGAGAGAGAGAGTCTGTGCGCAGGCATGAGCAACACACACATGCACAAGAATGGGGAGGGGCAGAGGGAGAAAATCTTCACACAGACTCCCTCACTGAGCACAGAACCCAATGTGGGGCTCGATCTCACGACCCATGACCTGAGCTGAAACCAAGAGTCCAACGCTTAACTGAATGAGCCACCCAGGCACCCCAACAAGCTTTGAGTATTTAATATACTATTGTCAAATGAGATATAGGTAAGAACAAATTTACACTGTTGAGGCATACTGTGAGAAATTAAAGACTTTCTACAAGCATATCAAAAGGCAAAGAAAGAACTAAAGGAGGATGGTTTAATTAGAATCATTACACTATGGATGAGTTACTTAGCCTTTCTGAGGACACCTGACCTGCTTTCTCATCTGCAAAATAGGAATAACATAACTGGCCTCATAGACTAGATCTGAAGATTAAATAACAACATATATGGAAAAGACTTGGCAGTACATGATGCTAGAAAAAATGGCTATTATTTATTTTATTTTTATAATCATTTATTATCTTTTAGAGGGGGGAGAGGGGCAAAGTGAGAGGGAGAGAGAGAATCTTAGGCAGGCTCCATGCCTAGCATGGAGCCTGATGCAGGGCTTGACCTCATAACCCTGAGATCATGCCCTGAGCTGAAATCAAAAGGCAGATGCTTAACCAACTGAGCCACCCACGTGCCCCTTATAATCATTATTTTTAATCAATAATCTATCAATAAGAGTCTAAAGAGCAACAGATCTCTAAAAAGTAAAGATGCTAAGGCTCTAATACATTTGCCTCCCCTCATCACTTCACAAAGATGAAAGAACCCAAGGAATTTCCATTTCAGAGTCAAAATTAATGTAATGTTATTCATACATTCAGAGAAGGTGCCAGTTTATAGCTTTTAAACAGGAAGGGTTGAAAAAGTGACAGAAAATGCTACTTGGAATAAGTAAGATAGGGAAAAATTAGATGAACAGAACAAAAGTTGCAAACTGACCCATTATAGACTATAACTTGCCATCATTAAGTAAGTGTGTATGAAAGAAAAATAAAGTTTTGCAAATGTTTTGGCTACAACATACAAATACATGAAACTCAGACTATTAAAGACAAAAAAAGTCCAATATGATCATTGAATGAAAATGGACTGTTTAGTGGGTAGCAGGATATAATGAAAAGAGCAGTGGACTTGAAAAGCTGGTTTGAATGTTAGTTCTAGATGGCTATAACATCATTATCTTGCTGAAATCACTGAACCTCTCTGCATCTCCATTTTCTCACAGGTACCTGCCCTATGTATCTCACTGGGTTATGAGAATCACGTGTGAAAATATAAATAAAAGCACTTATGTGAAAGCAGTAAGAGGCTAGACAATGTTGAAAATGTTTGTGTTATTATAATTATTATCTATCTAAGGATTAAGTACAAATCTCATAAAGTTTGCATTTCAACTCTGACATGAAAATTCTCAGAAAGAAAGTATCATGAAGGAAAAGCTGAGTATCTTAAAGATTCAGAAAAATCATGTAAAGGTGGTAGAATGAAATAAAAATCCATAAGCTAACAAGTCATTCTATATCAGAGATCAAAATCTCTTCACAAAAGTGAATGAACTATCCAATAGCAAAACAGTTAAGATTTCTTCCTAAATTTCTTACATCTTAGTGGATGCTAAGAAAACTGACCTTACTATTCATTTCCGGTTATAATTCATATTTGTATAGAAACTGAAAATGGGGAAGAAGAAAAGGAAATGGCTACAAAAGAGGAAATGCACTTTGTACATGTAAGTGAGGAGCGAAGTATTCTTAGCAAACTAAACCCATGTGACAGTAAGTTTTTCGGGGCACCTGGGTGGCTCAGTCGGTTAAGTGTCTGTCTTTGGCTCAGGTCATGATCTCAGAGTCCTGGGATGGAGCCCTGAGTCAGGCTCCCTGCTCAGTGGGAAGTCTGCTTCCCCCTCTCCTTTTCCCCCCGGCTTGTGGTCTCTGTCTCTCAAATAAATAAAATCTTAAAAAAAAAAAAAAAGAAAAGAAGTTTTTCTTTTTTCTTTTCTGTCTTTTTTTTTTAAATAAACCTGAATGAATGGTTTTGTTAAGTCCAGGTTAAGAAAGATATTGCTGTTCTCTCCTGGTAGTGGCAGGATCTACTGAAAAGAGTTGATAAAACAAATTTTTCTTTTATGTTAACTTCACTGTCATTTCTCTATATAATACAAAGATCACCTCACGAGTGAATATGGCTATATATTAAAAGAATTTTAGTTTGGACTTTATGTAAATATGCCCTAATATTTTTTTAATGTAACAAAATTAAATACAATTTAAGAATAATCACACTTTTTTCTTAGAAATGCAAAAATATTTTATGTGTCTGTGTTAAAGCATTGTTTTAATTTTTTCCTTTCAAATATAATAATGTATAAATGTAACTGTTACTTAAAAGGATGTAAAAACCCTCATCTTCAACTATCCAATAGTAAATACAGCATGGTTTACTGCAGGAAAAATTTTATCATAAAAGGAAAATTTAAATCCAGTAATTTGAAAAGCATTTGTTTCCTAACCTGAAATTTTAAGCTGTTCACTTTCAAGTCTAATAAATAACCTACCCCAGAACTCAACAAAGTATTGTATTAGCATATTGCAAGAGTTTTCAAATGACAAACTTACTCATTTTTCATACAATTGTTAAATAGCTACATTTGATGAAGCAGGTATTCCTATATACTAGAGATACAAAGATTAATAGAACATGCTACTTAACAAAGTATATAATTCTTCTAACAATGCTAGGTAGAAAGCACTTCTTTTTTTTTTTTAAAGATTTTATTTATTTATTTGAGACAGAGAGAATGAGAGAGAGCACACGAGAGGGGGGAGGGTCAGAGGGAGAAGCAGACTCCCCGCCGAGCAGGGAGCCCGATGCGGGACTCGATCCCGGACTCCAGGATCATGACCTGAGCCGAAGGCAGTCGCTTAACCAACTGAGCCACCCAGGCGCCCGGTAGAAAGCACTTCTTAAAACAAGTATAAAAAGAGTCAGTATATCAAGTCAGTATCAGCACTCTTCATTAGTCCATTAACAGCCCAATAATATCTGCTTTGGTGAATGATTTGGCTTGTATTTCTCCATTCAAGCTTGTTTATGAACAGAAAAACTAAACTGACTTTAGGCAATGTATATTTACATAAAAATTTAGATGTTCCCTCATAATTAGAGGTAAATGTCCCTTACTTTGCTTAAAACTCTTCAATAAGTAGAAATGTGGTCAGAATAAATTAAAATAAGAATTACTTCAAAATTAACAGAATGACTAAAAAATAAAAAAATAAAAAACCTCTCAGACACTGTCCATGACCTCCAGGATAAAGTCTCTGTTTCTTAACTACCTACAAATCTCCTAACAACCTGTAGAAACTATAAGACAAATCTCCATCGTCATCATGCATTTGCAGAACTCTTCTTTTGCCTCAATTATTTGTCCTCCTCTTCCTTCACTGGCTAACTCCTACTTAGGTTTCAAAATTCAACTCACATATTACCTCTACTAAAAAGCCTTCCCCAATTCTTCTCTTCTGAGTTATGTACTTGTTATGGGAAGAACTGTGTCCCCTAAAACTTCATATATTGAAGTCCTAACCTCGAGTACCTGAGAATTTGATGTTTGGAGACAGGATCTTTAGAGAGGTAATTAAGTTAAAATGGGGATGTTAGGGTGGGCCCTAATTCAATATGACTAGTGTTCTTCTAAGACAAGGAAATGTGGACACAGAGGCCTACAAGACACACTAAAGGGAAGACCATGGGAAGACCAGGGAAAAGATGACCATCTACAAGCCAAGGAGAGAAGCCTTGAATACACCCTTCCCTCATAGCCCTCAGAAGGAACCAAACCTATCAACACCTTGATCACAGAATTCTAACCTCCAGAACCGTGAAAAACTTCTGTTGTTTAAACTACACAGTCTGTGGTACTTTGTTATGGCAGTCTTAGCAAACTAGTACAGTACCTTTCTAAGTGCTTCATCAAGACTTTTTACTTACCTTTACTACAGCCCTTAATAAAACTCTTTTGTTTCTTTTTCCTCACTAAAACTGAACTATAGGTCTTTTTTTTTGTATTATGTTATGTTAATCACCATACATTACATCATTAGTTTTTGATGTAGTGTTCCATGATTCATTGTTTGCGTATATCACCCAGTGCTCCATTCAGTACGTGCCCTCTTTAATACCCATCACCAGGCTAACCCATCCCCTCACCCCCCTCCTCTCTAGAATCCTCAGTTTGTTTCTCAGAGTCCATAGTCTCTCATGGTTCATCTCCCCCTCCAATTTCCCCCCCTTCATTTTTCCCTTCCTGCTATCTTCTTATTTTTTTTTAACATATAATGTATTATTTGTTTCAGAGGTACAAGTCTGTGATTCAACAGTCTTACACAATTCACAGCGCTCACCATAGCACATACCCTCCCCAATGTCTATCACCCAGCCACTCCATCCCTTTTGTCTCTGAATCTCCACAGCCCAATAATCCCTGGCAAACTCATTGAATACAAAAGAAAAAACAAAGAAACCAATAAATATGCTCCTCATTCACCATTCTTCTAATGGAATTAGCCCCTCCTTCAGAGTGCACTTGTTTATGCCAATTTCTCTACAAACAACTTATAATTTAAATTAAAATGCTTAGTGATATCTTACTCTGCCATAATAAAATAGCTTATAAAAATATTAAGCTACTTTTTAATAAAATTTATATCATTATCTTAGTACATTAAAAGACTTACTAGAAATACAATTTACTCAAGTACCTTTGCCTATCGGCCCATGGCCCATAGTTGAAATCTGTTCCTTTACCACAAACTATATCCAGTCCCCAACATGGAGGCAAATCTTGTAATTTGCAATCCTCACTGCTCATTTCTCCTTCAATATTTTCTTCTGTTTCTTCTGGAACAAGTCCTATATTGCAGAATATACAACAGAAAGGCAATTACTTAAAATTACTGTTTAAAGATTCCCTAGATCAGGAGTTCTAAAAATGTTTTGCTCTCAGTAATCCTTTACACTATTAAAAATTACCAAGGATGCACAGTAGGATTTTTTGGTATTACCTCAATCATAATTTACTGTATTCAAAATTGAAATTGAGCAATTTTTAAAAATTTTATTTTAACAACTCATTGCATGTTGATGTAATGAAATGTTAAATAAAATTGAACTCATTACATTTCATTTAATAAAATTTAATGAAAATATGATATGAAAAAATTATTTTAAAAAATTAAATGAAATTTTAATTCCATTTTAATGAAAATACTTTTTAATGAAAAATAACCATATTTTCTAAAACTAATTCATTTAGAAATAAGTGTTGGCATTGTTTTTATTTCAGCAAATCTCTTTAATGTCAGGCTTAATAGAAAATAAGCAAATTTGCATAGCTGCTTCTGAATAGGCCAATAACCAGCAACGAGATTGAAGTAGTGATCAAAAACCTCCCAAAAAACAAGAGTCCAGGGCCTGATGGATTCCCTGGGGAATTCTACCAAACATTCAAAGAAGAAATAATACCTATTCTACTGAAGCTGTTTCAACAAATAGAGACAGAAGGAAAACTTCCAAACTCATTCTATGAGGCCAGCATTACCTTAATCCCCAAACCAGGCAAAGACCCCATCAAAAAGGAGAATTTCAGACCGATATCCCTGATGAATATGGATTCCAAAATCCTCAACAAAATCCTAGCTAATAGGATCCAACAATACAGTAAAAGGATCATCCACCACGACCAAGTGGGATTTATCCCTGGGATGCAAGAGTGGTTCAACATTCACAAATCAATGTGATAGAACACATTAATAAGAGGAGGGAGAAGAACCATATGGTCCTCTCAATTGATGCAGAAAAAGCATTTGACAAAATACAACATCCTTTCCTGATTAAAACTCTTCAGAGTATAGGGATAGAGGGAACATGCCTCAAGTTCATAAAATCCATCTATGAAAAACCCACACCGAATATCATCCTCAATGGGGAAAAGCTGAGAGCCTTTCCCTTAAGATCAGGAACACATCAAGGATGTCCACTCTCGCCACTATTGTTCAACATAGTATTAGAAGTCCTAGCAACAGCAATCAGACAACAAAAAGAAATAAAAGGTATTCAAATTGGCAAAGAAGAAGTCAAACTCTCTCTTTTCGCAGATGACATGATACTTTATGTGGAAAACCCAAAAGACTCCACCCCCAAATTACTAGAACTCATCCAGCAATTCAGTAATGTGGCAGGATACAAAATCAATGCACAGAAATCAGTTGCTTTCTTATACACTAGCTTCTGCATTCAATCTGTTGTTTAAGGATTTGAAGAAAACCTAGCCTCAAGCAAATAGCTATACAGAAAAGGGAGGAGTATTTTAATAGCTTTTTCAGATAATTTTGGATATTCTTCTCTGACACTATGCCAAAATTCAACAAGTGGTAGTTTCTTAAAAGTTAGTTGCAATGTGGAATTTGAAACCCTATACTGAATTTTTCATACTCTGATACATTAAAATTTACTGATCTAACACTTTGAATATATCTTTTACCCATGGCATAACTTTGTAACATCATGCATTTGTAAAATATTGGTTCAGAGACAAACATATGTTTTCTAAATATTGATAAATTTCATCATTAGACATTTTTAAAATCACATTTGTTAGTATCACTGGTGGTCTTATCAGAAAAGTCCTTAAACTCACAGTGGCAGACCCAAATTTTCCAAAATTCTGATTCTCATATGAAAACTCAAAATCATCTGTCTCTAGTTGCTCCTTCAACTAAAACTGGTGCTCCATGAAAAGAGCAAATAATTCAGCTAGAAACTCAACTATACAAGTGCTTTTCCTCCAAACATCAGTATACTTTGGTATGTAGCAGAAGTATATTATGTGTACTTGCCATTTTTTCACACTGAATATTAAAAAGTTTCTCAAGGGTCAAGATTTGACAAAAACAATTTTTACTGCTTAATCAAAGTTTTTAAAACTGATACTGGCATTTGTTTTACTGTAAATGGGTGGCAGTGAAAAAGACAGTGATGACTAGTATAGTTTGGAACCACTGCCTTAATTCATGCTAAAGCACCAACACTTTCACCCACCATTGCTTTTGTACCAGCAGCGCAAATGTCATATGGTGAAAAAGTTAAGTAACATCCTAGTTTTACCCTGAAAATACTCTGACCTCATAAACCCCATGAAAGGCATAAAAAATCAGAAGTAGAGAAAAAGGGCTAAAAATCCAATGTTTAGCTACTTTCATAAAATGCAAGCCACCTGTGAAGCACTCTAACCAGCTGGATTTCAATCCTTAAACTTCAAGCCTCAAACGATTTTTTTCTTAAGCTAGCATGAACTACCTTAACTGTCACCACATTTTCTAAAGGTTTTCACACCAGGTTACTTGCATTCACAATTTTTGAGGTATACTTCTGAAAACAGAATTGAACAAAAGATTCCTATATTGTTCCTTTGGTCTGAAATAGTAATATCCAATTTTTGATAAATGACACAATTTTTAGGTAGGTACTCTTCCATCCACATTTACGATTTATTGATGTCTATTTTATCCTACCAAGGAGACTTAAAATATTATTAAATATCAACATTTCATAGAATAGAAGTGTAGCTATGAAACACTTTCAAAGACTAATACCTGGTTCATCCATGTAGTAGTAGATGTCAACATCATTTGACTGCATCACCACAAACCCTTCTCCCATTAATCTTGGTGGTCTGTAAGAAGGAGGGGGGATGGCAAACTAAGTACATCTCCAGAATATAAAATGTTCTGTATTCTAATTATGGTAGTAATAGTTGAGAACAAAAAGAGAAAAAAAATCTAAAAAGCAATCAAGTGTAGCATATTGAAAAGGGAAAACAAAACATCTTTTACATAGACAATGAAGTTTTGCATAGTTGTATTCTATATTAGACTAAATAAATTGGTACTGAAAAATTTTTAGTCAAAATATTAGTTTCAAAAAGAAAAAATGAAAAAGAAAATTTGTCTTATATTTTTCATTTTAAGTTTTAAATGAGAGAAATCAATTTATTTATTTTATTTATTTTTTTTTTTAAAGATTTTATTTATTTATTTGAGAGAGAGAATGAGATAGAGAGAGCATGAGAGGGAGGAGGGTCAGAGGGAGAAGCAGACTCCCTGCTGAGCAGGGAGCCCGATGCGGGACTTGATCCCGGGACTCCAGGATCATGACCTGAGCCGAAGGCAGTCGCTTAACCAACTGAGCCACCCAGGCGCCCCGAGAGAAATCAATTTAAAGCAAAGTTTAATTAAATACAATGTAAGAAGTATGATCATTGGAATAATCATATTCTGCATTTACAACAAAAATTTAAAATTAAACTTAAAATTCAACCATTTTATATTAATAATACTTTACAACTTAACAGGAAATATTTTATTATATCTGTAAAATAAAGTTTAATCTGTCAGAAACATTAAATAAGAAAAATACTGTCATTTTTATTTTTAACAACTTTATATTATCTTTGTCTTTATATTATCTATTTGCAAGAATATTTAGTTGATCAACTTGAAAAAATTCTGGAATGAATGTTTCTCTACAATCACTTTCCCACAAACTATTAATCTTTACTTGCTTTGATTCAACAACTTTTCTCTTTTTCATTCATATACCACATCTTCCTTCCATATCAAAATTAACTTCTCAATCATTAGATAATATATACAAATTCAACAATCTTCTTCTAAATATGTATTAAATGACAAAGGTTAATGTCTAGTATCATCATTTAATTTCCACACTTACTTTGAAGAGTGAAAATACAATTTTACATCTTTTTATAAAAATTAATAAAAAACACCTTTTTATCTTACTCTAGTAAATTTCACAACGTCCAGATTTATTCAGTATTATAACTTTTACCCGTAATATATAGAATTGTGTACACAGCCCACATTCTACAAGATGCTTAGCAAAGTCTGTGATTATGAAGAATGAGATGAGGTAAACCCACAGCCTCCCTGCTACTCACATAGGGAAAACCTCTCCATCATCCTAATGATGGAGAAATCTAATAAGCAAGCTAGCCAAAAGTTGGAACTAAAAAGAAATAATCATGCTTCTTATAACCTCATAAACTTCATACTGCCTGCACACAAAGATAAAAGCTGGGACAGTTCTAAAACTGTATCATCCAAACTTCACCAGTTTTCTAAGAGTAATTTAGATTCAATTTACAACTTTTTATTAACTCAAAATGGTATTCCACTATACTGCATTTGTTGAATGCAGTTCAAACATTTTCTAACCTACAAACATCAGGGCTTATGCCCAAAATAAGTTTCCCAAGTATAGTGAGGAGGAGAAAAGGGTAGAAAATTTATAGTAATAATCTTATAGGAAAATACTTAAAATTAGAGTTCATCAATGGGTAATATATCCATTTATAATTATAAAGCAAGACTACACTGTTAACTGATTTAATAGAGAAATATGCCCAACATAGAGTACATCATTAGTTTTTGATGTACTGTTCAACAATAATTCATTAGTTGCATATAACACCCAGTGCTCAACACAACACATGCCCTCCTTAATACCCATCACCTGGTTACCCCATTTCCCCAACCCCCTCCCTTCTGTAACCCTCAGTTTGTTTCCTGGAGTCCAGAGCCTCTCATGGCTTGTCTCCCTCTCCGATTTCTTCCCATTTGTCCACAATAGCCAAACTATGGAAGGAGCCAAGATGTCCTTCAACAGATGAATGGATTAAGAAGATGTGGTTCATATATACGATGGAATGTTACTCAGCCATCAGAAAGGATGAATACCTACCATTTGCATTGACATGGATGGAACTGGAGGGGATTATGCTAAGTGAAATAAGTCAATCAGAGAAAGACAATTTATAAGACTATCTTACTCATCATTTTGAAGACCAACATATCTTGGACTAGGAACAAGCATTACTCGAACATTTTCAAGCTTCCCTTTCACAATATGCATGAATTGGTCAAGATGACTAGAAGGTGGTTTTGTAGTATAAGTTAAGAAAGCATCATCAAAGTTGATACATAGAGTTTGAGGTTGGTAATGATTTCCAAAGGCCAAACGTCCCTAAAAGATAGATAAGAGAAATTATGCTGTAATATACAGACCATATATTTTTCCTTAGTTGACCTAATAACAAACATTTTCAAGCAACAACTAAATGATTCCACTTTAGCACTATACACTATCCATATTACTCCACTGATCAATTTAGACCAGTGTTTAAAGAAATCTAAGTACTTGTGAATAAGTAGCCCTTAAGACCTAATAAATGTGTGCTAAGATGGTATTGGCGTTGAAATAATTCTTTCACACTTTTATGAACTTTGGAACCCCAAAATTACTTTAAGTGAAAATTTTATTTGCAAAAATAAGAGTTTCATTATTAACTCACCAAACATTAATTGCAGCAGAATTTACTTACTGTGCTCACATTGACCTTTATGACTGGAATAAGTGATCTCCATGAAGATGTCGGGTCTTGAGATTCTGTTTTTACTTTAACTCTGAGAAAAATAAAAATAAAAATAGACATACATAAGAAAAGCTTAAATAGCTGAGAACACAGTTGACTTCTTCATAATACACAGTAATACCAGCTGTAACTTTCCAAATACATCTAATGATTGCTCCAGTAAACAAATAATGACAACATCTAACAGAATACTAATATCTCTCAAATATCTCTTGGAATGCACTCTATCATATATCAATTTTTAGACTGGCAAGGTAAAATAACAAAATTATGGTTTTAGAGTAATAAGTTTTAATGACAAAAGTATAAATTATGATATGCTGTCATTACATGCACCATTATACTCACTATAATATGACATTCTATAAGACAACCTAAATTACTAAAATAACAAATAACCAAGGTACAAGTCACATTGATATTTTCTACTGTTTTAAGCACTTTTGACAACCCAGCTGATCCTCTCCCTTCCTTATCCCCATCACTTTGTGACAGAATAATTTCCTCTCGGTAAAATGAAAATGATAGGCCAAGAATAAGAAAAAAAGAAATTGGCCACACACAAAGTACACAAAATTTAAGATATGAAAATTTCACAGCAAGTCACTAACGATTTCAGATGAGAACTCAAGGCATAACTCTTCAATAACCCAGTAACTCCTAAATCATATTTCTGAGGCCATCTCCACTAAGGTAGCCCTCAGTGCTTAAAACTAAATTTGAAACTGACCTCACCATCTCCCCTCTAACCTGCTCTTTCTCTGAGGTTCCATGAGCATGACCACTAATTAAATTAGAAACTGGATTCATTATTAACTCATCCTTCTTACTCATTCTCCACACCTAATCTATCACTGTCTTAGGGATTCATTTGCCTAAGTATATTTAGAATCCATCCACTTCTCTCCCTTCTTCTTGTTACCAACCCAATTGATGATCATCTCTTCCCTGAATTGTCACATCTTTCTTGTTCCTCAATCTGTATAACTTTTATTTCCTTTTGTCTTATTGCAGTAGGTAGTACTTCCAGTACAAAGTTGAAAAGGAGTGGTTTAAGGAGACATCCTTGTTTTGTACCTGATCTTAGTGAGAAAGCTTCTAGTTTTTCACCATTAAGTATATTGTTAACTATAGGGTTTCTGTAGATATTCTTTATCAAGTCAAAAAAGTTCTCCTTTATTCCTAGTTTACTGTGAGATTTTAATCATGAATGAGTGTTGGATTTTGTCAAATACTTATTCTGCATCTATTGATATGATCATTTGGTTTTTCATTTTTAGCGTGTTAATTGATTTTTGAAGGTTGAACTAGCCTTGTTTACCTAATAGTTTTTTAAGTAGATGATGAGGACATTTATTCCCAATTAAATATTTCATGGATATTATGTCCAAGGCACCGAGCTGAGGTATTGGGGATACTGAGAATATGACAACTGTTCTGTTTTGAGGGAATCTGTACCCTAGAATGGGAGTAAGAATAGTTAAAATAGGCAATTTTAGTGCAAGAAGTGTTACCTTAGGAAAAATAATAGAATTCTGTGGGCACACATAGAAGGATCAGGGAGACCTGAAGGGTGAATGAGTTAGGCAAAGAAGATGAGTCTTCCATTGAGAAGAAACATCATATACAACAAAGAAGTTGTTTACTGAGGCTAGAGTGGATTAAGGTGGGAAAGAAAGAAATAAGACTTTCTTTGTTTGCAGATGACACAATCATCTGTGTAGACAATCTGGAAGAACTGACAAAACTCCTGGAACCAATAAGTGATTATAACAAGGTTGTGGGATTCAAGATTAATAATAAACAACAATCACTTTCCCAAATACCAGCAATGAACAAGTGAAATTTGAAATTAAAACCACAATACCATTTACATTAGCACCATAAAAATGAAATACTTAGATATACATTTAATAATATATATAGAAGATCTACATAAGGAAAACTATAAAATTGTGATGAAAGAGATCAAGCAATCAAATAAATGGAGAAATATTTCATGTCACTGATACGAAGATTCAATATGATTAAGATGTTAAGTTTTTCCTAACTTATCTATAGATTCAATATAATCCAAACTGAAATCCCAACAAGTTGTTCTGTGAATATTGACAAATTGATTCTAAAGTATATATGGAGAAGCAAAAGACCCAGAATAGCCAACAAACCATTGAAGGAAAACAACAAAGTTAGAGGACTGACACTACCTGACTACAAGACTTACTGTAAAACTACAGTAATCAAGATAGTGAAGTACTGGTGAAAAAATAGATACATAAGGCAATGTAACAGAAACAATGTAGACAGCCCAGAAACAAATAAAACAAAATCATGTATTTGTATCTTAACTATGTATATATGTGTATATATTTATGTACATGCACTCAAAAGGAAAAAACACAAATAGATAACAGTAGTTATCAATATGGAGGAAAGTAGGACTAGTAAGCAGAACAAGACTGCTTCTTTTTACATTATATAATTCTTTATTATTTGAATTTTTAAAGGAATTATATAATTTATGTGAATGTAAGTTTTAGTCAAACTACAAAGAAAGACTAGGCTGTGTTTAGGTGAGTAGCATCGACGATATTCTAATAAAAGTAAATGTTAAATGTTAGAGATTAATAAAACTCAAGTGTGACTATGAACCTTTCAATTTTGGACTGGGTTCTTGTTCTTCCATTTTCCCGTGTTTTATCATCCTCTTTCTTGGGTGGAATTATTGTTGGTTCCAAACCAAACAATTCTTGAAGACGTCCATAAAGATCCGAACGATTATAGACATGAAATTCAAAGTCATTGACTGTGATGTATAATCTGGTTTCTGCCTTTGGATCTAAAGATACCAATTACAAAAAAAAAAAAAGTTTTTAGTCAACTTTTTTAAAAACTTCAAAGTTTTTAGTCAAATCTTTTCTCACAACTAAAGTAACTCTATTTTAAAACATAATTCTATGATCAAGAGAATTTCAAAAACTTAAAAATATATAATTTATATAATATATATAACTTATAAATATACAAAATATATAAACATATTTTATTTTTTTAAGTTTCTTTTTTTTTTAAGATTTTATTTTTTTGTCAAAGAGAGAGAGCATAAGCGGGGGTGGGGAGTGGTAGGCAGAGGGAGAAGCAGACTCCCTGCTGAGCAAGGAGCCCAATGCGGGACTCGATCCCAGGACGCTGGAATCATGACCTGAGTCAAAGGCAACACTTAACCGACTCAGCCACCCAGCCATCCCTATAAATGTATTTTAAAAATATATAAAACACGAGCAAAAGAAAGAAAAAAGCTGATGTTACTGTAGTATTCCAATTTAACATTCTAAAACAACCTGGATTTCTAAATTCTGGCTGTATAATGACAGAATTTAAAGATTTTATGCTAAAAATAGCAAAGTGGCCTTTACAGACCAAAAGTAAAACTTTATCCTAATAATAAATTTACAATAAAGTATATGAATAGCAAAATGTTCAAAGTATGATGCATTTAAACATCACATTAGTATTTAAATTTTTGCATCACAGAAACAAAGATTTTTCATAAATACTAGTTTATTTTTTAAAACTACACAATACTAAGGTATGCGTGGGTGGCTCAGTTGGTTAAGCGTCTGCCTTTGGCTCAGGTCATGATCCCAGGGTCCTGGGATCGAGTTCCGCATCGGGCTCCCTGCTCAGCAGCAAGCCTGCTTCTCCCTCTGCCTGCCGCTCCCCCTGCTTGTGCTCTCTCACTCTCACTCTCTCCTTGACAAATAAATAAATAAAATCTTAAAAAAATTTTTTAAATAAGACTACACAATACTAAAACCAAGATCTTATAAACTGTAGACTTCAAACAATAATCTTCTCAAATAAAAGACATAATTACCTCAGATATAAGTAACAATAGTAATTATCTAACAACAAAATGATAGATGCGGCACTTGTTTCTACTGAGGAAATAATCTAAGACACTGTATCACATGTCAACCAAAGAGGGTCAGAAAAAAGGTACCATAGTGCTTTCTTTAGTGTGTTCTTTTCTTATATTATACATATTTTTTTTGAGATTGCCTTTTTTTAACCTTTATTCATTTTTCTCCCTATCAAATTCAATTGAAGGACAATTAAAATCAGATATGATCAGTTAGAGGGCTTATTTTTTTAAAATGGCTATGGAGAACTGTTACTTTCATTACAGTAGCTTAAGCTGTGTTTAAATATGAAGTATACACCTTTAGTAATATACCAAATTACACCAAAATTAATTTCTTCTCTAGTTTACTAGAAAATAAGAAAGCGTAAGAAATGTCAAACACCCTAAATAAATGTAAATTTTAGTTTAAATGAACAAACGAAAAATACTGTCACTCATACTTCAAAAATAAACCTTGGAAAATGAATCAACATTCATTTTTTATACAGTAATACTTTTAGTTCTACTCCAATCTAGGTTTTTTTTCTCACCACTTCCTAAGATAATTAAGAAAAGAAAAAGATAAGCCTAATCCTTAAAAACAAACAAACAAACAAAAACAATGTTTAGGAGCTTTAATTTTTCTGGCATTTTTCAAATAGCTCTTGACCTATGTTTCCTCCTATTTCTTCAGATTTATCACAGGCCTAAAAACTAAGACAATCCCCTAAACTATTACAATCAAGTGTTTTGCCCCTTTTTCTTGCTATAGGTCAAATTCTTAAAATTAAAATAAAAAGAATAGGAACCACTGCTTTTTAATACATTTGGAGCATTCTAAGACATGATAGTAATAAATATCATCATCCATTTTTAAGTAAATCACCAAACTCTATCACTAATTAGGTTTAAACCTTTCCTCAGTAATCATCCACAACCTCTTCCCAAAATGCCAGGGACAACTATCCAGAAAATTACTCAAATATTTCCAATTTGATACATTAACAGGTATCTCACACTTGACATTTCCAACCGAACATCTGCTTTTCTCACATGACCAAACGTAATCCACAGTATTCCCCATCTTATCAATAGTAAGTCAATCTTTTCAATTACTCAAGCCAAAAAAATTGACTGCTCTCTTTCGTGTCCCAGATAGTATCAGCAAATTCTATCAGATTTCCTTTGAACATATATCCAAAATCCAACCACTTCTCACCACTCTGGCTCAAGTCACCATCAACTTACACCTGTTTTAATACAAGAGCCTCCTAACTAGACTCCATGCTTCTGCCCTTATTCCCCTTATGTGGGTGCTTTACACATCTTTACAGATCTTACAAAAACCTAACTGAAATCATGTTACTCTTCTGTTCCCTAACTTTTTGATGGCTTCCCCTCCCATTCAGATTAATATCAAGGTCCTTTAAGTGACCTATAAAATCCTACAGGATCCATACTCTTCTCTCCTAATCTCTCCAAAAAACTGGTCTCAACTTTGGTAATGATAGGAACAACCAGGAAATGTTCTTCCCCCAGACATTTACAACTCATTTCCTTACTTGTTTCATGTTTCTGTTTAACTATCCCCAAACAATAAAACCTTTACTGACTTCCCTATATAAAACAGAGCCCTCCCCACAAACCAGCACTCCCTATTCTACTGAATCTGCTTTTATTTTCCTCAATGCCATATTTTCCTCACTCATTCCTCAAGGCTATATATATTTACTTGTTAATTACCTGAATCCCTCCCAACTTGAATGAAGCAAGATCTGTAAGAGAAGGAACTTGCTTTATCCAATGTTGTATCCCTGGTACCTACAATTCTTAGCATATAGAAGGACTCATTTGTTTGAAAGAATAACAGCCTCTTACCACAAATCATACTCCTAAGTAAAACAAAAATATCCACACACAGATCTTAGAA